GATCGAGGTTAGAAGAAAACGATCAACGTTGAATGGAAATTGCGTTGCTTCGCATCGATCCACTCCTATTCGAATTTAATTGTTCTCGTCGTTCTCACTTTTTACCGATTTTTGAGAACAAACCTCGAATCATCGACGACGAGAATTTTCTTTATTATTCGATTAGATTAAAAATACTTGTATAGAGACGAAACTCTTGCAAGATACACCACCACTCCCTTTGTACCTCGTCCATTACTTGATCCAAAGAAGCTACTGTAAAACGAGCCGAGAAATGACGCAAGAAAACGGAGCGACACCGGCATCACGGTGGAACAAGGACGATAACGACAAAGGATGGCAAAAAAGCCCCGAGTGGACGGGGTAGAGCGATCCATATCAATTTATCCGATCGGAAAATGATCACGCACGCACACACAGAAAAAGAGAGAGAGAGAACAAAAGCTCTCCTCCGTGCTGTCCTCCCGGTGTCCTCGGTCGCGCGAGCGGGTTCCTCGCGGCGCGCTCGTTAAAGATCACAGCTGAAATATCGCGTTCACCGCGACGCTGCTGCGTTCGGCTATATTTGAGGCCGACTCTCCTCCTCCTCCTCCTCCTCCTCCTCCTCCCCCGGTTACGTGTCCTCGTGGCTGTCGCCGTTGAAAAAAGTTTGAGCCCCCTCGCCGCAAGACAGCATCCTCTCGGTCAGTGATCCTGCGCTGGCGTCGCCGTCTCTGACCGTGGCCGTTTCGGTGTAGATATATATTCAGCATTGCCGCGCACGGTCCACGTTCCAGCTTGCTACGAAACGTGCACAGGTGGACGGAGAGACAAAGAGAGGGGGGGAGAGAGAGAGCAAGAGCAACGGTAAATGACAGAACGAAAGGAGGAGAAGAGAGAGAGAGAGAGAGAAGGACGGTGGGCAGAAGCATAGCTGGCGCATTATCACATACGTTAAGTTTTTCTACCTCTATTGGCCCAGAGCGAGGGCACGAAAAACGACTGATTAATCGAACCAACACGGCGAACATTCTTACGGCCGCATATACAGGCTGGAGAACCAGTAGCTCGACTCGCCTCTCTCTCTCTCTCTCTCTCTCCCTCTGGAGCACCACACCCTGCGCACCTACATTCGCACGGATGTCGGGAGAAGAGACACGAGGCGGCACATCGAAAAACTCTCTCTCTGTTCCAATACAGAGTCGGGCCCGGGGCCCCAGTTCCGCCGATGCCTCTTCGGACGAAAACCGGAATGCGTTTCTTATCCGGCTACTCGGCCACCGCAACGGGTATCTCTTTCTCTCTTTCTCTCCTCTCCTCCCCTCACTGAACTTACAATTAACGCGGTACAATACCATACGGATTGCGGGGTGAAAAAAGGTTTCGAGGAATCGGCCGATGTTAAGCGCGCTCCCTTCGATCTTCGGGGTGTAATTATGGGGGTCGAGTTGAGGGGAGGGTTAAAAAGTTGCGATTCATTGATTATTGCACGGGGATCGATATATCGAAGGAATGACGCTCTCGTAAAAATAACGTGTTCGTTTGGAATAACTTGAAATTTACTCGAAATCGATTAATCCTTGTCGAGCTATATATATATATATGATATTTGGTTTGATAATGTTTGATAAAAATTCCGGACAAATTGTCGTTCAAATTTTAAGGACGCGAGATGAAAGAGGATGGAAACGAGGAGGAAGGAGAAACTCACCCCTCGATTTTTCTCCTCGAACGAAAACGTCGCTTGTTACGCCGACACATCGCTCAGTTATTACGCGCCGCGTTTCCCTCGAGCTTTAGCCTGCCGCGCGAACTCTCACCCCGTAGAGAGGTGGGTGTTGTCGGACATTTCGCGCACCCGGTGTTAGGCAAAGTTAAACTTTACACCGTTCAGTCGCCGCCATGTGTGGATGCACAACCCCTCCACGTATTATGACCGTGCTCGTAGGCCACGTTTGCGGCCACGTTTCCCGTCTTCCGATCTGTTTCGTCTTATCGACACGTGGCGCGGACCAATCCTTTCCCCACTCCTGGTAATTTTCCAACTCAGAGTTTCCTCCTGTCTTTCTTTTAACCGATGCTTGGGGAGGGGTTAAGGAATATTGTGGGATTTCGACGAGTTTCGAGGTGGATATTGCATCGAATTTTGTTCCCAATTGTACGTGATCGTTCGACGATAGTTGAATTTTCGATGGAAATCGAGTCGGTAATTTAACAGGATGAAATTGAAATTTTTATGGATAAAATGTTAATCGAATCTATCTTGTTTCGTTAAGTCGTGATTCGAATATTATTGGAGATCAATGATTACGTCGAATGGGAGTAGGAATTAATTTGGAATGCGATAATAACGGAGTAGACTTTTTTTTTTTTTCTTTTTTAAAAAGGAGGGGAAGATAGTTTGGGATATTTTTGTCCACGGCGTAAACAATTTCGATAGAAGAGGAGGAGGAGAGAAGAGGGATCGCGCATTCTTCACGGGACTAAATGCTCGGTAATTTTCGGGCATTACCCCAACTGGTTAATTCGTGTTACGTGAAGCGGGAAAAACAAGGCAGAACCGGCTATTTCGTTCGAAAATCATTTGCATTTACTTCACGGCGATTACGGAGTTCGTGGCTAATAAAATTTGAGCAGCTCGAAGACTTCATCATCGATATCGCACGCAAATCTAAGCGTAACCTTCAATTTCCTGCACGCGATCCCGATCATCAGTGTGAATTTCTGGTAATACCGTTTAACGGGAATCTCCGGGCTCGAGCAACAAAATTTTACGGGAATGTGGGGGATTTTTTCTCGTCTAGACTCTCGTGAAAACACATTGTTGACGTCGTTAAGCGCCCGAATAAACGACGATGTCGTCCTCGAAAGGTGAGAATCACGAGTTGTTATCGTTCAAGTTTTTTTTAACGTCCTAATATTAAGGATGACATCGGCCACCGATCGAAAAAAGAATCCCTCGTAAGCAATTTCTTCGTAAATATTCCTATCTAATAATCGTACCATTTTTATTCATTTCCCCGTTGGATAACTATTTTCCAAATCGAACGAATCCTCCTCCAAGAAGAAAAAAAAATAAAGAAAGGAAAGCTTAATTTTCTCGATCCTCCTCCCACGTCATAATTCCGTACGGTTAAGCATGCACGCCACGGTTGAAGAAGAGGGGCGGTCGCGCGCGAGCGATTTGGTGACATCAAAGTTTAATAAGCGCCATAAGCCGATCCGAACTGCGGCTAAAACTCGTCGAGCAATAAAACCGGCAATAAAGCGTTTCTCTCTCTCTCTCTCTCTCTCTCGTTCCTCTCGCGTTGCGGGAGAAAAGGAGGGAAAAAGAAGGTTGCGTGGGGATAGATCGGAAAGGAAGCTCGTGTGGTGGCTGCACGGTGGTTAACCGTGGAAAGGTTGGAAGGGTGAGGGACGACGCATTAGCGGCGGAAGGTGGCGTGCTCATAGAGACGTCCGGTCGCCCAATTACTCCCGCATTAAATCAATGTTCCTTAGGGCCTGGCCCATTCCGGTAATAAACCGAGTGGCGAACATATCTGCACGACTTACGGCTCATCCCTCGCCACCCCCGCGCCACGAGGCTGGGGTGAACATTGGGACGGGACGCGTTCGAGAAATGTGCCCTCTGTCGTAATATTTGGCTTTAAATCATGTCCCGTTGACAGGCCCCACTTTCTTCTTCGTTGGATAACTATTTTCCAAATCGAACGAATCCTCCTCCAAGAAGAAAAAAAAAAAGAAAGGAAAGCTTAATTTTCTCGATCCTCCTCCCACGTCATAATTCCATACGGTTAAGCATGCACGCCACGGTTGAAGAAGAGGGGCGGTCGCGCGCGAGCGATTTGGTGACATCAAAGTTTAATAAGCGCCATAAGCCGATCCGAACTGCGGCTAAAACTCGTCGAGCAATAAAACCGGCAATAAAGCGTTTCTCTCTCTCTCTCTCTCTCTCTCGTTCCTCTCGCGTTGCGGGAGAAAAGGAGGGAAAAAGAAGGTTGCGTGGGGATAGATCGGAAAGGAAGCTCGTGTGGTGGCTGCACGGTGGTTAACCGTGGAAAGGTTGGAAGGGTGAGGGACGACGCATTAGCGGCGGAAGGTGGCGTGCTCATAGAGACGTCCGGTCGCCCAATTACTCCCGCATTAAATCAATGTTCCTTAGGGCCTGGCCCATTCCGGTAATAAACCGAGTGGCGAACATATCTGCACGACTTACGGCTCATCCCTCGCCACCCCCGCGCCACGAGGCTGGGGTGAACATTGGGACGGGACGCGTTCGAGAAATGTGCCCTCTGTCGTAATATTTGGCTTTAAATCATGTCCCGTTGACAGGCCCCACTTTCTTCTTCGCACCTTCTGATTCATCCGCGCGACTCCATCCCTCTTTTCTCTCTCTCTCTCTCTCTCTCTTCGTCTTTCCTTCCACAGGGTTTTCGCCCCTCCTTATTGAAGTTCGACGATACGAGAGTTTCAGATGGCGTGGAAATTAAAAAATCGTTAGAATCGTATTTTCGAAAATCGCGATTAATGAGAGAATTGTTTTTAAACGTTCAACGTTTATTCGTGCGTTGTTAAAATAAACAAGGTGGATGGGAAGGAAAATTTTTTTTTACGATCGCTTGCAGCACGACAAATTTTTGTACGATACAGGAAGAAGGAATTGGAAGTGCGTCGAGGAATTGAAAATCCGTCGCGATCTCGTACTTTTTCGAGTGTCTCGAAAAAGTGGTCGAAGTCAAACGAAGCGAAGTCTATGGCCGCGTTCAACCGTGAGATTAGCCTCGCGCACAATTTACGACGGCGATCTTATTCACAGCTAGGCTTTCATATAAAAGCTTTTTCCTGTAAGCTGCGATACGTTCTTTCAAGCGTCGAGGCTGCCCATAGGGGACTTTGAGAGAGAAGATCGTGCACCGTGATAAATTAATACAATCGATATATATATACGTATATATGATATTTGTATTCCTCGTAAAATTTCGTTAGATGAAGATTAATTAAAATTTTCTCTGTTTCAGGTATCGAGATGACGCTCTCTGTTGGACAGACAGGTATGTTTTATAATTAATCCAACGAATTTCGATACGCTTGAAAAAAACGAAAACGCGTTCCTAAAAGATCGCCAAACTCTGTCCTCTACGTTTCTTGTCTCACGATTCATTCTTTGACACTCGTTCTTTCGCTTCGAGTCTACAAACCGTCCCAAATACCCTTTGTAATCCTCTCACTTTAACTCGTTCAAATCATACTTAAAAAAAAAAAAATAACTATTCTTCTCCATCGCATCGTGAAAAAACGCAACATCTATCGATCCATCCCGCGTACGTTAAACCTTGAACCGAAATTATCCGTGAAATTAGTGGAATCCCTGCTAAGACGTCAGCCTTCGGTAACACGATTTTAAACGATCCCTCGTCCCTTCGATTTATTCTCTCTCGCGAGGAGGAGGCTAGCGAGACAGTTCCACGGAAAGAGAAACTCTTAAAATAAAAAGTGGCAGAGAGAGAGAGAGAGAGAAAAGAGAAAAATCAAGAAACAAGGATCGAAAAAAAAAGGAGAAGAAGAGATACAGAAAAGGTAACGAAAACGGGGAACAGCTAGGGGATATAAAGGAGAGCAGGGGCGAGGTGAATAATACAGAGAGATTGACGTCGCGACGCAATTCCATTGTTCAAAGTGAGCAGAGAGAGAGAGAGAGAGAGAGAGAGAGACAAGCGGTGGAAGCAATGAGCAAGACAACGAGGTTTGCCACGAGGTTCTTGCCCACCGGTATAAATCAACTCGCGAGTGACCAAACCGCTCCGCCATACGATCCGCCGTATACACCGGCTACATCAAATTAGCGACACTTCTTTCGATCGACATGTCGATGCCGGCTTTTTGCCCGTTCGAGGAATACTTTCTCTCCGCTCTGACTATTCGCGCGCCGCTTCGAATCCACTTTTTTCTCTCTTTTTTTCCCCTCCACGTTGGTTTGGTCCACGTTGGCGCGCCGTTCTGCTCATTTGCGTGAGGCGCGGTTTCGAGTCTCGAAATCGAGGAAATCGGGATTATTTAATCCTTGGCGACGGAAAAAAGGTGAAAGAAAGAAAGAAAGAAAGAAACGAGAGATTTTTCTCTTTTTACTTTCGTTTCTTTCTCTCGTTTCGAGGAAAGAACGTTTCGGTGTCTGGCAAATTCCTCGAAATTCCTCGAAGAGGAAAGAAACTGGAAGGATCGAAAGTATCATCGAGCAGGGAATATTTTAACGGAAAACAAGAAGAAGGGTCGAGAGCAAAGTAATTTGCAACGGTGTGTAGACGGCGGACAAACCGTTGGAGGGAAAGCCATTGTAAATGAATTCGATGGACGATGGGAAGTAATTAATGACGACACCGATGTAATTAGCCGAAACTGATCCAAAGCTAATTGCGAACAGGCGAACCGCGGTAATTAATAACTCTGGCGCGACGTTATCGGACTACTGCCGTCCTTCTACTACCTTTTCATCTTTTTGCCTCGTTGCGCGACGCCTGGGGACAACGTGCAACGAATATCTCGTAATCGGTCTACCAAGTCTCGCCTTCGAGAAGAATTGACGCGTTGGTCAACCACCGATGGTCCGACTTTCTACTCGTTCCATTTCTCGTTCGAAATTTTTCTCGCATTTTCGTGCACGATGCAAATCGAAAAATAGAAAGAAAGAAAGAAAGAGAAAGAAAAAAAGGATCGAAATCGATAGTTGGTTAGATCGGGTAGAGTGTGTTTCAGTGCAAGTTACGCGGAATCGAACCGTATCCAAGATCGATAAATCGAATCTCGACGAAAATGGTTGGTTCACGAGGGAAGAACGATGGATAGAAGAGGATAGAAGAGCTGCGATCGGGCCTCGATATCGTTGAAATATCGTTGGAATAATTTATACGCGTCGTTAATGAGCTGTTCATCTGAAAGAGATGGTTAGAGACAGGCAATTTATAAGTTGTCTGGAAACAAAACTATCAGGATGGGAATTCGTAAAGCGGGCAATCTGCGGGGCCGGGGCCCCGTTCCTTCGGCCCAGGTTAATAATTATTGAACTATCGATTAAATGCACCGGCGCAGCTGATTGATCAGCGTTTATATCGCGAATACATCGGCCACGTCCGCTCCCTACAATTTTAAACCGGGTGCCCATCTTTCAAGTGAATCGCGATCCTCTAACTCGTGAACGCTCGCGAGCGCTCGCGAGCGCGCCTACACCTCTTTCCACTCGGCCTAATGGCGTTGTCCGCTCAGAAATTATCGGTAATGAATGAAAAACGTGTCCGGATTACAGCCTGTTTACCCGTTTCCTCTTCCAACCATTATTCTCTTCCCCTCTTCGTCATTTTAATTAATGTTCTCTCCTCCCCTCCATCCTCTTTCCGATCCCAAATTTTTCGCGGTCTGGATAAACGATAAAACTCTCACTTTTTTTACACGGATTTTCTTCTCGCCCACGACCTCACGATGAGTTAAATTAAATTTGAATCAATCGAGCGTTTAGTTGGAGCTACTTCGGTTCTCTTTATTTAACGGCTCTGACGCTGAATTGAAACTCGGTTGATCGATCGTATCGTAATATCGGATCATTGCTCGTAATAACGTACACGTCGTATCGTTTGCCGGAAGCCAAATCGGATCGGCTCGAGCCAGGAATATATATATATACAACCAGGATATATAACCTGGTCTCTCTTAAACAACAACCGCTGTTTTTTCTTTCCTTTCCTCTCCTCTCCCCTCCTTTTCTCCTCTTTTTTCGCAACCGTTCAATTTAACTGGATGTCGTTACTACTCCCGGCATTGTTGTCCGCCCGTTTCGTTCATCGATTCATCCTTACTTCCCGGCTGAACGTTGGCCCCTACGCGCGTCTGTCCGTCCTCTGCACCCTTCCTTTCCTTCTCTCTATCCCCCATCGATCTCTGTTGCTCGGTCGGTATCGCCGGATGCCTCGATCCTTGTCCAGCCTTACCTGCCGATCCGATCCGATCCGATCCTATATTTATTGTATCGGGGAGAGCCGAGCCGCCGCATTCCTCGCGCATGCGCCGCCCGTAATGAGCGGTCTCCAGTCCTGTCTGTCTTTCCATCCGTCCATGCGTCTGTCCGCCCGACCGGTCGTAGCCCCCCTTCGATCACCCCTACCACCGCCTCCACCTCCACTTTCGCCTCCTCCGCCTCCACCTTCCTCCCTTCGCCCTTCTCCCTCCAACGCTCTCCCGCCGTATATCCACCTCCCTCTTTCGCTTCTTCTTTTTCTTCTCCTCCTTCTTTCTCCTCCTCCTCCTCCTCGTTCCTTTTCTCTCGAGCGTTGTCGGTGCTGCTCGATACTCCGGTAGCTTCTGGATCCTCCTCGAGCATCGAGGATCGACGATACTACTCCGCAGCTTTGCGGAAAGCGCGTTCGTTGGCCTGCACCCGTTCGCCAAGGGGGTCAAGCTCCAGAAGCTGAATATTCGGCAGGGTTTTGGGCAGGGGTTGATCGATTAGATCTAATTTTTGGGGGAAGGGAAGGAAGGATAATTTGTTTTCGAGATTCGTTTCGATGATTTTTGAAGAAGAAAAAAAAAATAATAATAAAGGAGAAGATAGGATACGCAGAAAGAGATCAGTGCAGGTTTACGATTTGTTGTATAATTGGAAGAGGAAGTATAGGGTAGAATTTAATGGAGGATAGAAATGTAAAAGGTTGGCTAATAGTAGAATCATGCGGTGTAATAAGGTAGTACTCTTTGATAGTCTTGAATTACTGATTAATTTCAAAAGTACTATAATTGATATCGGGTTGAGTCTTCTCCAGTAATGATCCTGAACGTCCAGTCGCGATAACGATCGGAGAACTTGAATCGAGAATTTCATTTTCTTGATACTTGATATCGGCGATGGGATTTCTCGTAAAGGAGATGCGACTCGTTTTCATAAATCGGAAAAAAGATGGCTGTGTTAAAAAAAGTTAAAAATTCGCACAAAAATTTTTACCTCGATTTTACCTACGAGTTTCTTCAAACGTACGCGAGCCGAACTCTCGAACGAATTTTTTCTAAAATTGTTTTCAAAAGTTTTCAAAAATTTCCTCGAGAGAACGACATATAATATACGCGTGGATCGAGATCGACGTTACGCCGGTCTCGTCACGAGAAAGAGAGAAGGGAGAAAACGTAAGAAGATTCCGTGTACGAGGTCGGTTAACGCGGCCAGGCCAATAGGAAAGATTCGCTTCCGTGGTTTGCTTATCGATTCAAATCGCGTGCAGCGTGTATGAATGAAGGAATGAGTGGGCGAGTCGAGCCACCGGTTGAATGGAAGCCCCACGGGTGACCACAAGGCACACGCGCGCGTACAAACTTCTCTTTCTTTCTTTCTTTCTTTCCGTTCTTTTGCGCGGCCTCCCTCGCTCTCTCTCTCTCTCGCTCCCTACGTTTCGCCAACGCGTCCTCCTTCTCCCACCAACGCACGCTCCTCTCTCCGTACACTTGACCCTTGCGGCGAGAAACCGATGAAATCGTTCCACGCCATCCACCTTCCAAGCTTTCACGGCTTGCCGCGGTGTCTGCCTCGATTCTTGTCTCTCCGTTTCGATCGATACTGAATAAATGATACGTTATACGATATTTAATGAATGGCGAGGAGAGGAAAAGTAGGGGTAAAATGGGCTATCTACTTTAACGTTTTTTTTTTTTTTTTTTTTTCTTCTATTGGAATGTTAATTATCAGCGCGCAAACGGTTAGAAGAGAAACGCAACGAATATGATAAATCACGTTTACGTGAATCACGTTCGTGAATAATAAGTTTATTTCGAACTTTCGATCGATAAAGAAGAAAAAGAAAATTTTCGAATCGCGTTTAAACGAAACGCGAGATCAACTTCGATTATAAAGATGTCGAAGCAGCTTTCGTCTCGTTAACACGATCCAGTATATTCCTTCTACGATCAAACGACGCAACCAAAAAAAAAAAAAAAAAGAACGGACAAATTGCTGTTCGTCTATTCGAGTCGATTCGAGCCAAAAACTCTTAAATCGCGTTCGTTTCAACGAACGAAGTAGTGCCACGATCGATCGTTTCCATTCGCGCGAAGAACGAACTCGATTTCTTCTAACCCCCCGCAAAACACGTGTATACCGTTTCCTAATCAAACTGATCTCGAGGACGGATTCCGATCCCGATCTAGTCTATGCACGTAAACGCACGTTGTCTCGAAAAAAAAAAAATGTTTAACGGTCGCATCGTATATAAGCAATCGCGTGGAGATTGGCCGGCGAAACGTAACAAGGATCGTCCGTTGTATACACGCCGTTTCCGTTTCTTCTGACAGTTAGAGACAGGGGCGAGAGTTTTACATCCGCAGCACCGGGGATTCATTAATTCAGACCTCGTCGTCCACCTCGATCGTCTTTTATCGGGTGGCTATCCGAGGTTAACGATTCCACGTAAGAAGGCCCCCTCCCCGATCCTCCACCTAATAGCTTGTATCGGCATTCCTGCGATTCAAAAAATGTGCCAAACCCGCTTCCCTTACCCTTTTGCATTCCTCCTTTTTTCGCCCCGTCATCGATATATATTTCCTACGTGGCGATTTTCTTTTCGGACTACGCGGCTTTCACGGTATTCGCTAATTAATATAATCGCGCGCCAATCGTTGCTCCTCTTCTTGCGCGCCATCGTCGCCTTTAATGGGAAATGTGTGGCGCGCCGATCGCGGCGATCGTTTTCATCCGCCGCCGCATCGTCTATCGGTTAACGATTTCGTTTGGAAATTCGAGCTGATCTATCACGTATCATCACGGATCTAATAACAATACGTATATATATATATATATAGACACGATACAAAGATGGATGAATTTTTAAAAAATTTCTCGAAATCGGGGAGGGGGGAAGGGGGGGAACGCGCGCGAATGAAACAGGGTTACCTATGTAAGGGAATATGGAGGGGGGCACGGGCGTGGGGGACACTCGTATCGCGGTTGAAGCCAATTTCGAGAGCGCTTTGTGCGGCGCGCTGCTAAAAATGCGTGGCGAATCGACAGCCGAGGATCGGAGGAGGCTGACGGGGCAGCTTCAAGATCCATCCCGTCCCGTACGATGGTTGAAACGGTGGATCGGATCCGGTCAAAGCATTCCATTGTAGTGGCCGTGCTCTTCTAGAAACGATTCCACCGATCCGCTCCGATTCGTCCTGTTTTTCGCCCGCTCCACCGCTCCACCCCAACATCCCCCTATCATTTTGCCTTCCTCTCGTCACCGTAATGCGACAGCATTAAACGGCCACCTCGCCTTCTCTCCACCGCCACCATGCGTATTCATGGCGAATAACCACGCGCGGTACGCGTGTATTAATTGACAAATAACTTTTTGCCCGATCCTCAGAAACAGGGGGGGGGAGGGGGGAGGGGGAGTACACGTACACGTATACGGCCGCATTGTCCGCGATTACGTACCCGGCTTTCTCCCCCCCCCCTCCTCCTCCCCCCTCTCTTACGCCTCTCTCTCCCCCCTCCCCGTTTCTTCCCCGTTTTTTCGCTTTTTTTCCTCCTCCCCGCCGCACGGAGCGGCAATGAAATGCTGTTTTCCGAAAATGGCGCTGGAATGAGGACAGGTCTCCGGTAGCGGCGCGCACGCCGTCCTATCATTTAATTTGGTATCGGATACTTACTTCTGCCCTTAGGCTGAAACCCCCGGCCTTTTCTTTGCTTCCACACGCACGATCCCGCGGATCGATGCGATCCTGCTGCCCTCCACGCTTTTTGCCGCGCCGACCACCGACCGTCCAAACTCCATTTCCACTCGTCCGATCGGGGGTTGGAGAGAACGTTTTTCCATCTTTTTTTTCTTTTCTTTTCTCTTTTTTTTTTTCCATCTTTTCGCAAAAAGGTAGGCGAGATAACTACGATCGTGGCTCGTCGGTGTTTTCGAGGAAACGATAGATTTTCCTCGCGATCGGAAGTATCGTTGATCGCGTTTGTTCGATTATACTTGCGCTCGTTGCGTCTGCGTTCGCAATACGTCGTGGCCGCAAAAACAATTGCCACGTGCGTGTAATCGTAGTTCATCTATTATCGCGTCACGTTTAAATCGTATATTTCTTTTATTATTTATTCAACGGCTCGATAATATCGAGCTGTCGATAGCGACACGGATGACGCTCGATATATATATTTCATAAATCATTTCTCTATGAAAATTTATGACCGAGACAAGACTATAACAGTTTATTCGAGGATGATCCACATTTGTAACGAGAGAGCGTTGAAACTGGATTTTCACCTTCCATATACGCGAAGAAGGCCGAAGTATGAATCGTTTAATTCAATTTGCCGCTAAATTTGTCCCTTCCGATTCAATCTTCATTTTTCCTCGAACGTTCGACAAACGTTTCCTTTTCTTCTTGCCTGTCGATCGGGGAAAGATTATTAGCGGCCGTATAAATAAAATATAAAATTGCCGTTCGTTAAAATTCTATCCGTGGATCGGTGGCCGGATCAGGGCCAGAAAAGGATGCAAAACCGGGCAGAAGAAGCTGCTCATTAGCACTTATGCGGCATGTACATCGTCGGTGGCAATGAGCATCATCGTGTCGTAACAGTACGGCATAGGAAACGTCTTCGTAAAAGGAACGCCGATCGGCCAGCCTCCCGAGTGTACTCCTCTCTCCGGTAGACGTCCACCAGCCGGACTAGTTACCGGTTAAGGCGTTATAAAATCTAGCGTAACCAGGCTACGCTTCACTTTTTCTTCGTAGGAAAAGTATCGCCGGTTTGCTAATGAGACCGCCGATCCGCCATCGTTCATTATTAAACCGGTGAAAGTTTTCCATATTGCGCCGCGCGTCATCGATCGGTATCGAACGATACGTAATCGACAACGATCGAAAGTGTATTCCGCGCGGTGATAAAAAAGAAGAAAAAGAATAACTTCCTTGGTCGCGATATTTCGGACAGAAATTTTACAAATTACAATTCCTTTTGGATCGATTCGATAGAGATGGGAGGAGAGATTTCTTTTTTTTTTTTATTTATCTTGATCGATCGTTAGTTACGGATTTTTATCGTTTTTGTTATTGCGAGGGCGAAGATAAGAATATACATCGGCGTTGATATCGGCGTTTCGAATAAATTCGACAGCGTTGGATACCGCTGTAAGAGTATAATCCCATTGGGTTTTAATAGGCGATTCTTCCCTTCGGAGAAAAAAGTTTCGGATTCGAAAGAGGGGGCGATGTTGCGGCATAGACGCGGCAGATACGCAATCCACCATCCGAGATAGGCCGTTTTATTGGGATCGTAGCCCTTCTGATCTCAGGCAAATGAAGATGGAGCACCGACTTCTTGCTCCTGTCGTGATCAAAAAAACATGATCGCGTAACTTTCTACGCCGGAACATGTGGCAATTGCGGTTCGGACTCTTATTTCTCTCTCCCCTTCCCCTCCTCTCGCGTCTCTTCAAATATCTACGATTCCGCGTTTCAAATTTATATTTACAAATTTATTTCAATTTTAATAAATCATGCGGTGTACCATACTATGGCGGAAATAGAAATACCGCTTTTCTTCGAGTAGACCCTTGAATAGAAGTGCCAGAAAGGGAGAGAGAGAAAGCATCCTTAGAGACACATTAGGGTGTGACCAACTAAGGGTCGTTTTAACCCTCCAACCATAGATTAGCTCTTTGCTTGCTACGTTACTTTGAAAGAAAAATTTAATCCAAAATAAGTTACAAAGTATTTCCAATTCGATTCAACAAAATGTATTAATTTATTTTAATAATTTTATCGTTATCTTTTTTCTCTACGTAGATTAAAACGCGCACGTTTTCGATTCCTCGATTCGAAAATAATTCTAAACTAATTTGTAAACGTGGTGGAAAACGAAACGATGAACAATATTTACGACAAATAGCGTTAAATAATAATCTTCGCGTTACATTGTATTTAAAAATTATTATTCAACCTATATTCGTCTACGTACACGCTCGTCGACATTGGCCGACGTAAACACGAGTCGACAACCGCGCAATAAATACGCGCGACCGATCCTCGACTTTAGTATATACGCAGCAGGCGAGAACGTCGTATCGTCGAATAAATTAAATTGAATTAAATTTTCTGTTCGAATTTATAAAAATTTCGCAACCACGAGCGATAAAGTGTTAAATATCCGAAGTTTGCTCCGATATTTTTCTTCTTCTTCTTCTTCTTCTCTCCCTCTCGTAATCGAGACGAATCTTGGAAAGAGAATCTACGTGGTACGCAATTAACGATGGGACAACGGCCGCTCTCGAGGCATGGATACCCCGTCGGGGGTTAAACAGCCCCTCTGCTCGAGGGGTAGGCGCGCGTGGCGCGCGAAAGTCGCGCGCAGCGTCTGGTGGGGGATGATGTTTGACGGGGGTGGCGAGGCGCCGAGCATGAGGCCGACACGCGCCTCCACTCGATGACACTTATGCACACGCCCTCGGACCGCGTGCGTGTTGCGCCTGTCAAAAGTTAACTCGCCGCTCTCCTCGTCCTCTTTTCCACGTTTTCTCCCTCTTCTGGGAGGGAGAGTTGCGGTACAACTACGTTCCAGTGTCTTCGACCACGTGTCACTTGTCCCCTTGGATGATTTCGATTCAGAGGACGATATTTTATATAATTTATCCAGATCGTGATCGTCGAGGATTGTGGTGATTCTTCTTTTTTCTTTTTTTTTCCTTTTTTTTTAAAGTGAACAGATCGAGTAAATTTTTTGGAGGGAGGATTGTTTCGAAGATTGTCGGACTTGCATCGAGGGTGTAGAAGGGGACAGGAATGGGGTTGTGATTTTTAAGAGTTGGGACCGAAGGAAGGGGATATAAAGAGAGAACGATGGACGCGCAAACGTACAGCAGAATGTGGCAAACGCCAAATCTGTACAGCACGTATAAACACCCCGCTCTAATGCAGCTGCAGGCGAACAATAACGAATTTCATTCGTGGTTTCATTCTAGGAAACCGTCCGTGGACGACGTTGGAAATCCTACCTCTGTCAACGCACGGTGAGTACCGTTCAACCATGTTGAGTAATCTTCCACAAGTCTTTCCTCTCTCCGATGTTGCTTCGAACGTGTAACTTTTTAGCGATGGCAAGTATCGTTTTTATTATTATTATTTTCTTTTTTTTTTTTTAATTATAACTCCGTCGTTCGAAACAGTGTCGGATGAAATTCAAAGAAATTGATAAGAAAATACATATTATCGTAGCATTCTCCTCTTTTTTGTTCGTTATTAATATTCTTTTTAACAATTTAAAAGTATATTCTGCTATATTATTATTATCATTATTCGGTGATAAGTTAAATAAGTTACAGTTTATTCGCATATAATCAAGCTGAGAATAAGTTGATTCAAGCTTGTTTTCTTTTTATTTTCCTCTCGAGTAACTTTACATCTTTACTATCCGCATAATTTAATTAAATTTAATTTTTTTCTTTCACTCGCCTCAATTTCGATCTCAACAAAACTTTCAAAACTATCCCCTTGGATACCGTTATTTTGAAAGTATTTTATCCGGAGAAAGCAACAACAAACGATATAAACAATCGATCGTTGAAATTGCAAGAACAAGAAAATCCGAATAGAAAATGGAAAATCTAAAATATGTATGGGATAACGGTATTCGATCAAACGTTACACCCACCTCGACAAACAATCGTCCAGGCCGTATCCGAGATATCGACACGGAGAGCTTGGAAAAGCGACGATGGCGCAGGTAAAGTCGGCCCGTGTTATCGGCCGCGATCATCTACCCTCCTCGGTCGAAGGGGGCATCGAGGACGGCCTATCTGCCGCAGTAACAATTGAACCCGTAATAGAATCACATTTATTCTTATTACCCGACGAGGTCAAGCGACCAAACGAAACGCCCGATCCGAAGTCGGATCAGCTCTTCTCCTAAGCCGTCCACGAGCTGCGTTATTTCTCCCAGGGCTCGGCCACGCACACACCGCTCTTCGTTCGTCCCTTCCTTTGCGGTTCGATTCCTTTTCTGTGCAGTCTTCTTCTACGATTTTCGTAGAATCATACAATCGTGGTGGTCAAGATCAAATTTCTATGATCAAGTCCGTTCAACGCGAGATGTTGGACATGTTTCATCATCATTAATTCAAATTACACGATTACCCCCATAAGGAGGGGGGCCTAATCTAACCCCACACGCGAAATTAGCATACCCTCGTGTTAACGTACCCTCTCGAAACACCAATTTTTGTCCTTTAAAAGATTTAACCTCGGATAATCGAACAAAATTCAATCTCTGTCAAAATTGTCGAATCTTTTATCATTCTCCAATATATCATTATTCCATTTTCATTTTTACTACATATTCGCGATCTTTTGGGAAAAGATAATTTTAATTTTTGAAGGGACGAATAAATCGCGTGTTTACTTAGAAGAAGAAGAAGAAAAAAAAATAAAGAAACAATCTTTAACGAAGAATTATGCGTGCTCGGGGTTTGTTTAATTAATACAACGGTGACTCATATACCTATGCGCCACAGTGCGTAACAAAGCGTCTGCCACGCTGTATCTCGTTCTCCATCTCTCCGCGTTCTTCAGGACTGAACCTACAAGACTATCAAAATCCTTTGCTCGCGTTATGAAGATGCCGCCTTGCAGATAGATATATATATATATAAAATTTCTGCGGAAAGTCCTAACCCATTCTGTTGTTGACAATAATTCATCAGCCTATATTGTTGTACGGGCAAGCAGCGAGGACGCGCGGTTTTTGCGTTATCTTTCGAGAGATTTCGTCAAAATTTCCGACCTCTGCTCTTCCCTCGTAGATCATTGTCTTAACGCTCTTGCCATTAAACTTTAAATTCCCTTTTTCCGTTTCAATTTTTGAAAATTAATCAACCAACATGTTTTGAAAATTCCAAATTTCGAAATGATAAACACAATAAACCTTTTTATCGATAATCGAATTGACCCAACGTTTAGATTTTTTTTTTTTTTCTTCTTTTCTTCTCTTTTGTTTCTTCGCAGGAACGAAGAATTTTTAGCGAAAGGGTTCGATTGTCAGGCTGGCAGGCCGTGCAGAGGCATACTTGCCATTCGACAAGGTTGTCGCCTGGAGCATTGGTTACGCCTCCGAGGTCGCCACCCGTTTACGCCCACGTAGCTATACTTTTTCTTTATCATCGCACCTTCACGGTTACTCATCGTTCCGCCGCGTTACACGAGCCTCCGCGATTTAACTGTTAAACCGTACCTGCTCCGCCATTAGTACGTGCGAACGTACGTGTCCAATCTCTCCGGATATTTTAATCTTTGCGCTAGGAGGCTAACAAATAATTCACGTTGTTTCGTGAAATTTTTATTAGCCACTTAACCTAATCCAGTTATTTCGCTTGTATATATATATATTTTAACGGTAGAATTACCGACCTATCTAAATACTGTACATGAAGCACTTATTTCGTATATATAATTAAAACGGTTAAAAACTTTTTAACTAACTCCTTTTTAACGTAATCAAAAAATGTATTCCAAGTTTTCTACGAAACGCGCACGATATTACGAAAATATTGTCGATCAAGTTCAACAAGCTAGTCGGTATCCGGCAATTAGAGGGGATGGAAATAAATTTCTCATTTACATCGAAACAGTTGTAACAATCGAATCGAGCGAAAGGAAGGGAAGAGAAAAGAAACGCAAGAAATCGTCTCTTCTTCTCGCGAAACGCTCTCGAGGAGACTCGAAGAGAATTTGGTGAGCGGGGGAGATCGGGACGTCTCTGCCGCGGCTCACCTGACTCGGGCCACCGTTACAGGAGGCTCCTTCGCGGTGCCACTATTAATATTAATGCATTCCGCCGTTCTTGCGGCATTGTACTCGCGTTGACGGTGGCTCTCGTCCAACGTCCAACCTCGTCCCCCGACAATATCCACGCGAAACGAGAGAAGAACCTCGCCCGTTCCGTTTCACACCGCGTTGTGAACCAACCGTCCACGAGATTGTCCGTCCCCAAACGTTTTGTGCGGCTGAATATTCAACCGATAAATAACGGGCTGAAAGGAAGAGAGGAGGCGAAACAATGACGAGAGAGGAGAGGATTTTTCTCCAAGTCGAGGATGCTTCGAGATTTTTCTTCTTCTCGCCACGGAGAATACCACAGAGAGAGAGAGAGAGAGAGAGAGAGAGAG